CTGGCTGTGTACCCTGGGTGCAGCAGCGGTGCCTGGCCTGTACGGCTGCTGCCCTCGTGGCTGAAACAACGAAGACTCGATCGCGGGCATCGTGATCCAGTTAACGGTCTCTCTGCTAACAGATGTACAACTACGGCTGCCACAGATCGGTTCCTGCGCTTCTTAATCTTAGACAAACACTGTAACTTTCCTACAGACCTTGGGAATTTGCTACGCTCGCAGATAGGAATGACGTGAATTTTTGCGCTCTTGTTGAAAATGGCAGTACCTGAAGCAGGCCTACACACAGGTGGTTTCCAAAATACGGCCTGTGGGGTCAGCTGCAGTGCATCCTCCTGTGGAAGCTGTTCTAATGAGCTGGAAAACCTTGTTAGTGGTGGGTGGAGCCTTTCAGGAAGATGGATTTTAACTTTTCGGAGTATGCTTGGGGACGGTCCTCCTGTACGGGCCGTTCAGGGTCAGAAATGCTTGTGATTCACCTTTGCGTCTCTTAACCGCTGATGGGAGGGAGTGGGAACGGTGGTGACACACCTCTGTGTGCCCACGCGTGTGTGTGTGCGCGCGTGCCCTGGGCTTTTCCTTGGGGGAAGGAGACGAAATGAGCCCCCGGGACGGGAAGGAACGGCACCAACGAGCGCGGTGGACGATGAAGGCCCCGGTTGTGCCCTGGCCTCCCTCTCCCCGTGACAGCCGGGGCTGCGTGTTTCTCTCTCACCCCGCTGTACGAAGGGCGAGGGTGTCTCACGTGGGTGCGGGGGCTGTTGCAGCGACCACCGGCAGGTTTTCTAAGGGGACCTCGCTGTACAGGTGGGCGTCTGGCCCCTCGGCGCCACCCCGGTTCCTCGTGCCTGGTGCTGGAGGGGTCTTCTGTCTTCTTAGATTTCCCAACATTTTGCGTTTTCGGCGTTGCTTTTCTAAGGGGGCTCGGCCTGCCGAGTTAGTGGCTGTACAGAACCCCCACCCCTGCACAGTTTTGGGGTTACCTTCCAGGGAGACTAGTGCAGAAAGGAGGGAGAAGGGGCACGTCGTCGTCAGTGCTTTGGGGGAAGAGCTGCAGTTCCTTTTAATTGTGTTCTTTGTGCTCGTGTATTTAGATACCAAAATACAGCATTTCACCGCCTGTATAAAATTGTGTTTGCATTTATTTAATTTAGAGTTCTTTTTTAAAAGCATGTAGTCTTGAATGTTTGTTCTCCGTTTTTTTTCACATCATTACTCTGATACTGCTTGATTAGCTCCCTCCCCAGTCATGATTGGTAATTAAAATAGGCATTAAAATTAGTCGCTTAGCAATTTTGCTGTTCAATTGGCAATTAAATTACTTAATTGCAATTAAAGTCCTAATTTTAATTGGCAAAATGATAGATGTAGATTTAAGATAATATGTATAAATACTTTAATAAGTGTCTATATAAGGATTACTTAATTACTCAACTTCAAGTTTATGCTGTTAACTTTAGAACTTTTAAGTGAGTAATGAAATTTATATTACATCTATTCTAAGGATATGGTAATTAGATGTATTACTTATCCCTATAAGGGCCTTCGCAGTAAGTTTCTTCTGCGATGTTAAAACTATAGCCTGGATGAACTATTGTGGTGCGACTGATGCCGGTCGTTACGTGGCAGCTCCGTGGTGGGAGTCCTGGGAGCCGAGGGGACGCGTGGGGCGGCCGACCGAGCTCCTCCAGCGCCCTTCGGGTGAGCACCGTGAGACGAAACCAGAGCAGCACATCGTCCGCTGGCGGTCCCTGAAAAAGTTGTTTTAGATAGTCCTTGCAGATCAGAGGCATCTTGCAGCCTTACGTTATTTCTTCGCTAATCTTTATCATCTCGTCTCCCGTTGGATAAACCTCAGTAGTAGCTCTGTAGTAGCAAGAGAATGTCACCGCAAAGTGGAAGTGATCTTTCTGGATGCCAGCGAGCCAGACGGTGGGAGGCAGTTTGTCTCGGGCGTTTGGGTTTTCACAGCGTAAGCTTAAAGGGAAAAGCATTTTCAAAGTGAGAATGATGACCGACTTGCAGCAGGAGAAGCGTGGTTAGGAAGGAGCGATCGCAGTTTCACATCAGCTGTTCATATTTAAGTGCTTCGTGGGGTTTTTACGTAAGGCAAGGATTTTGCGGTGACGATGTTGGCTCTTTAGGTGGAGGCAGCACCGCGTTGGGTGCGCTGGCTCTTACGCTGCCGTTCTGCACAAAACAGCGCTTGCGGAGTTTGACGTACAGTATCTTCTCCCGGCCTTCGCCACGTCTCGCACGCTCCGGCCTGCCGGACCTTTCAGGAGAAGCACCTGCGAGCAGAGGCGCCCTACCTCGCGTGTGACAGCGCTCTCCCCCCCCCGCCTTGCCGTGGGAAAGGACGCGCGGTGCCCTGTCTTCTTTCTTTTTTTTTTTTTTTTTTTTTTTTTTCTTTTGCAGGCTGGACTGCAGCAGGGGGTCCCGCGGGAAGATTTGGGGTCGGTGTCCGGAGCTGCTTGCCGGAGCCCGCCACGGGGGAGGCCCAGCGTCCCCTTCCCTCTTCGGACCGGCGACCCCACCGATGCCCCGCGCGCCGTCGCGGCCGATGCCGGGCGGACCAGCAAAATTAAGATCCCTGATAGGTTTTTAATAAGTGCAGCGCCCTTAATTACACTAAACCACTTCTGCTCTGCATCCTCCCCCCCC